TGGCAGTAGATAGCAGGCAGTTGAAGACAAATCCAGCCACATCCACTCAGCCGAACAGATCTGCTTTTTCTTAAAAGTGGATTTAGTGGGAGGGAATAGGCAAGTCTGGGTGCTGGTGGACAGGTGGGGGTGGGGGTGCCACTACAGCTCAGTGGTGAGGGTTTTGAGCAGAGCAGAGATTGCACGGCCATCAAGCATGGATGCTTTAGCTGAGATTCCTGCATCTCAGTGGGTCAGACTAAATGACCCTTGGTGTCCCTTCCAACCCTACTGTTCTATAATCCTATCGGGTTAAGTACTTGCCGTATTTTTCGCCCTATAGGATGCACCGGCCCATAGGACGCACCTAGGGTTTTTTTTGGGGGGGGGGGAATAAAGAAAAAAAATTATCCCCCCCCAGCCGCAGGAGTTCCCGCAGGGCTCCCTAGGCTGCGGATAGCTTTCCGAAGCGCAGGGCGCTCTGATTCAGTCCGCCCCATGCTCGGGCAAGCAGGCTGCTATCCGCAGCCTAGGGAGCCCTGCGGGAACTCCCGCAGGCTCCCCAGGCTTACGGATAGCTTCCTGAAGCCTGGAGAGAGAGAGAGGGGTCGGTGCTCACCGACCCCTCTCGCTCTCCAAGCTTCAGCGAAAGCCTACATTCACCCCATAGGACGCACACACATTTCCCCTTCATTTTTGGAGGGGAAAAAGTGTGTCTTATAGGGCGAAAAATACGGTAGTTCATTCCGGAGGTCTGTTCTTAACCTGAAACTGTTCTTAACCTGAAGCACCACTTTAGCTAATGGGGCCTCCTGCTGCTGCCGCGCCACCAGAGCACAATTTCTGTTCTCATCCTGAAGCAAAGTTCTTAACCTGAGGTAATTTTTCTGGGTTCGCGGAGTCTGTAACCTGAAGTGTATGTAGCCCGAAGTACCACTGTACTTAAACAACAAAACGAACTGGGCTCCTTGGCAGGTTTTGAATAAACATACACAAACTTTTTATTGGTAATATAGAGATAGATAAATTAAGAATCTTTACAATTTTATAATATGCAGAGAATAACATGTGCTGAAAACCAGAGAGAGGAGCTGAGGGAAGTCTGGGGGGTGGGTTTTTCTTTTTGGGGGAGGGGGAGGGAAAAATGAGGGGGGATGAGGATGATGTGTTTTTGATAAATTGCTATGTTGAAATTCCTAATAAAAAATATTCCAAAAAAAAAAAAAAAAGGAGAAGCAAACAACTCACCTTCCTCTACTGTTCCCTACAGTTCAGGAAGGAGAAAATGATTATTCCACCCTCAGGAGGCAGTTGAGGGGTTTGGTTTGGAATTGATAATAATAAAAATATTAGGGCAATGAACTTCAGGCAGCTGCTTGCAGGTGATAAGTGTAGAACCCAGCGACACACACACCCCACCCTCCTGACAGCTGGAGAAGAAATTCTAGAATGGTAGAATTTCAGAGCTGGAAGGGAAGCAAAGAGTCATATAGACCCTGCAATGCAGGACTCACAGCTGATTGAGGACTGCAATCCCCCCATCCCTTGAAGGCACAAATTGTCCAAAGGCCCTTGTGGTCTCTTCCAACTCTAGGATTCTATGATTCTATGAACATGGGCCTGGCCAGACCCATTGTGGCAGAGGAGGAACTCAGCTGCAGGTCTGGTGGTGGTGGGTTCCTCATTCCTTCATTGCGGGGGTTGGACTAGATGACTCTTGGGCTCCCTTCCAACTCTACAATTCTAGGATCCTATCCTTCAGCATCCGCTCCCATACCTGGAAGGTTGAGCACCCCACTCCGCCTTTGCCGGGAAAGTCTCTGCTGCCTGTCCTGAGCCCTTCCTTCTTTGTCTGCGGCAGGAGAGACCAAAGGGGCAGCTGTGAGGAAGCTCTTATGCATAGGCTCACCTGGCGGTGCTCCAGGGGCTCTGGGGCTGCTGCTGCTGCCCCACATGGGACCACCCTGGAGCCCAGAGTTTAGAGGGTGCTAAGAATAAACTCGCAGGATTCTTTTTAAAACAACAACCACACCTACGGGCAGGGATCTCTAGCCCCAGTGCTGCAGTTTTCTTTGAAGCAGCTGTATGAGAACTGACACCTGGTCCTAAGCTTAGAAATGCAGGGGTGGCAATTCTCACATTTCGATTCCATGCATAGATCCACGTTAGTGCACCCAGTCAAAGGAGTCTGGTCTGCTTTGTCGTCCTCGTCATCATCAAATGTCAGGTTCTGCACTTCAGCAGAAAGAACCAGGTGCACGGATATAGGATGGGGGAGAACTGGCTTACTCCCAGTACGTTTCCGAGCACAATTCAAAGTGTTGGTGCTGACCTTTAAAGCCCTAAACAGCCTCCGCCCAGTATACCTGAAGGAGCGTCTCCCCCCCCCCACCATTCTACCCGGACACTGAGGTCCAGTGCCGAGGGCCTCGCTGTGAGAAGCCAAGTTACAGGGAACCAGGCAGAGGGCCTTCTCTGTAGTGGCACCCGCCCTGTGGAACGCCCTCCCACCAGATGTCAAAGAGAACAACAACTTTTAGAAGACATCTGAAGGCAGCCCTGTTCAGGGAAGCTTTTAATGTTTGATGCATTACTGTATTTTAATATTTTGTTGAAAGCTTCCCAGAGTGGCTGGGGAAACCCAGCCATGTGGGCAGGGTATAAATAATAAACTATTATTATTATTATTATTATTATTATTATTATTATTATTGCTGCAGTACATGTGAAAAGGATCTAGGAGTCTTGGTGGAGCACAAGCTCAACATGAGTCAACAGTGTGATGCAGCAGCAAAAAAAGGGAATGCTATTCTTGGCTGCATCCACAGAAGTCTAGCATCCAGATGAATGGAAGTCATAGTCCCACTCTCTTCTGCCCCAGTCAGACCACACCTGGAATGCTGCATCCAGTTCTGGGCACTACAATTTAAGAAGGATGTTGACCAGTTGGAAGGTGTGCAGAGGAGGGGGACCAAGACGATCGAGAGTCTGGAAACCAAGACTAAGGGCAGCAGTTGAAAGAGCTGGGGGTTTTTAAGCAGAGGTTGGATTCGTTGGCTGCGAATCCTGCATTCTTTAGCTGTGACTCTACCATTCTACAATTCTGTGAGAGAGCCCTTGGCACAGCCAGGAGCTGCTTGCACATGCACGAGAGGCACATTGCCTTGTGTCAAGGTCATCATAATCACGCAGGAGGAGTGTGAGGTGCAGATGTTGCCAGATATCCGCCCGCAAGGGTCTTTATCTCTGAAACAGCCTGCTTGGTTCTCTCCCTGCTGCCCCACCCCAAGTGGAACATGGGGGTGGGGGTGGGGGAGCGGGGGTTATTGGTTTGCACGTGTTTTTCTTGTTTCTATCATGCACTTCATGTTTGTATGTTGTGAACCTCCCCAAGATGGGTTGGTGAAGGGCAGTATAGTAACAATGATAATAAAGAATGTTCCGTATTTGCTGCTCTTCCTTGTGGTCTTCTCTGGGGCAATGGGAGAGGGAATCAAGGCCCCCACCCCACAAGATCTCTTAGTCCTGCAAAAGGGCAACAGGTGCCCAGCCTTTCCACCCACAGCCGGCTGCTCAGTTACTCTGCACATGCTCAGGGGAACTCTAGCTCTCAGTCCTTTGGATAGGAGACTCTAGCAATGAATTATGGTTTGCACGGCAGACACTCAGCATTTCACAAAGCTGTTCACATGTCTCACCCAGTGAGGGGGGCAAGAGAATGCAGTTGCGTCACTGAGGAGGAGGGTGCATGGCTGGGAGACCCCCAGAGACCTGGTCCTCTTGGATGAGTAGAAGTTCATTTGATACATTTATATATATCCCAGCTTTCTCTCCAAGCAGCTCAAGCTGGTATAGATGCTTCTCCTCCTCACAACAACAGCCCTGTGATGTAGATGAGGCTGAAAGGCAATGGCTGTGCCCCCACCCCACCCCAGCAGAGATCACATCCAGGGAGCTTTGTGCTTAAGTGGGGATTCAAACCCAGCTCCTAGTCCAGTATACCTGAAGGAGCATCTCCACCTCCATCGTTCTGCCCGGACACTGAGATCCAGCTCCGAGGGCCTTCTGGCGGTTCCCTCACTGCAAGAAGCCAAGTTACAGGGAACCAGGCAGAGGGCCTTCTCGGTGGTGGCACCCGCCCTGTGGAACGCCCTCCCATCAGATGTCAAGGAAATAAATAACTGTCTGACTTTTAGAAGACATCTGAAGGCAGCCCTGTTTAGGGAAGCTTTTAATGTTTAATAGGTTATTGTATTTTAGTGTTCTGTTGGAAGCCACCCAGAGTGGCTGGGGAAACCCAGACAGATGGGCGGGGTATAAATAATAAATTATTATTATTATTATTATTACTAGTCCGACACCCTAATCACTACACCACTCTGTCTCTCAATGACTCTCTTTGCGTAGTCTTCCTCACACGCCAGGACTGGGCCTCACAGCACAACAAGTAGATCCTGGGGCTTCCTGGAGGGGCATCCCCCCCCCCCCAAGGATGCTGCAAAGGGCTGGAAAACACGCAGAGACCCCAGAAGGAGAACTCGGCCGCCTGATGGGGCAGCTCAACTTGGCCAGGCTACAACTCTCTCTGCAATGTATAGGGGGGGGGGGTGTCCTTAAACCTCAACTCCCTGGAGGTGGGACCTGCCATTCAGGAACACCACCGCCCCGTGTAATTGTGTTGAGTGTGCAGTGCGGGACTTTGGGATTAAGGCAGGGGGGCTTCAAAGAACGCTGGCTTATATTCCATCAAGCTCCCTTGTGCAACCAGATTTTGGGGGGGGGGGGGATTCTTGCAAGCAGCCAATAAGACAAGCCCCCTCTCCAACCCTTTGAGGGCCTTTTGGCAAGGATTCAATGACAGGCAGCATCTCATGGAACCTCCAAGTCCAAAGATACCTAGATTCCTGGGTTTGGTCACTGAGAGAGCAGGCTCTTACGTCCTGCAAGGGTCACCTCTCCCGTCCTCCCACCCCCACCCCACAAAGCCCCCCCCCAAAGACACACGGGAGCCGGCTCGTCTTGCAGGGAGTGACGTTTATTAGCTAGTGGCCCCGCGTGGGGGGTCTGGCAGGGGGCTTCCCCGCGAGGGAAGGCGCTGGCGGTGCTGGTGGCGTCGGCGACCGGGCGGCCGCGAGGCAGCTGGCCCTGGTCGAGGGTCGCTCAGTGGTAGTGGCGGCTCAGAGCGTGTGACACCACGTTGCCGAGCTTCTGGAAGGCGGCGTGGGCGGTCGGAGTGAACTCCTTCCCGAAGTGGGAGGCCAAGACGATCAGGAGCATGTTGATCAAGAGCTGCAAGAGAAGAGAGGCGCTCGGTGGAGACCGCGAAGGGGAAGGGAGCCGGGCGGGGGGGGGCACAGCCAGGCAGCTGGGGGGCAAAGGGTCGGGATTCGGGCGGGGCGCCCCCTTCTGCCCCCCACCATTCCTCAGAGGCTGCCATGACGGTGCCACGCGTGGATTTCGCCGGGCAGGCTCTGCCACGGGGTTTGGAAAGGGCGTGGGTGCTGGAGATGGGGGTCTCGAAGCCCAAAGGGCTCCAGGCTTGAGCAGGGCCGAGTCACAACCAGCCCCCCATAGAACTTTAGATTTCTTTCTTTCTTTTCCAAATTCAACACCCATATTCATTTTCTAACATAAACCCATTACATCATGAACTAAATTAAAGTATACCTAATTACTCCAAACTTCTCTTTGCTTTATACAAATACGACACAGTTAGAAATTTTAGGTTAAAGCTTTCATATTATAAATAATATTTCAAATTCCCCTATGCGCCCCCCCCCCCGTTCCCCTTCACCCATGTGTGATCTCAATTTTTTATTTTTATTTTCACTTCTTCCGTCTTGTTGTGTTGTTATAATTTAATCATTGTTCAATTAATTCTTTTATTATTTCCTTGCTTACCCCTGCATGTTTTGCACATTAATATTCCAGTTCCGGAACCATATTTTTTCATGTATTCCTTCACTCCCTCCCACTCTTTAATTATTCTCTGATTTGAATGGCCTCTAATAGTTGCCGTCAATTTTGCCATTTCCACAAACTCAGAGTTTATTTTGCCATTCTAATAATGATGGCATTTTCTCCCCCTTCCAGTTCTTTGCAATCAGTATACTGGCCGCTGCTGTTGCATAAAGGAATACATTTTTTTTTATCTCTGGGAATGTCATTTGATATTAGGCCTAACGAAAAAGCCTCTGGCTTTTTGGCAAATGAAATCTTGAATATTTTTTTTCAGCTCCACATCTACCTCATTCCAAAATTTCCTTACAATTTTACATCCCCACCATGTATGATAAAAGGTTCCCACCTCCCTCTTACATCTCGAGCATAACACCCATAGAACTTTAGAATTGTAGAGCTGGAAGGCCGCCTCCAAGGGTCATCTAGTCCACACCCAAAATGCAGGGATTGCTGCTAAAGAAGCCCTGGCAGAAGCCCCCCAACCCTCTGATTAAAGACCTCCTGTGAATGATAGAATCATTGGATTGCAGAGTTGGAAGGAAAGCCAAGAGTCATCCCACCCGACACCTAAAGCACTCTGCTCTGTGGCTCCACATTTTGCAGCCAATTTGCAAAGAAAAAGACAGTTCAGAAAAGTTTTGTTGACAAAGACAATTTCCCTCCCAACTCTGCAGTTCTATGATTCTCCTCGCTGCTCTGCTAAACGTTAAGGAGTGGCCTGAGGGCCTCCGGCTTCTTGGCCAGGAAATACCGGCAAGTGGTCTGGATGGGTGCTTATCTCCTCACCCACATGCCTCCTGCTCCCTTCTCCTGGTCTCCACAGAGGGGAACTCAGGCACCCTCTTCCCTGCCACCCACCCCGTGCGGAGACGCCACTCTGGGCAGCCCTTTGGGGAGATGGGGGCCTCACCTTGAAGTTCTCAGGGTCCACGTGGAGCTTGTTGCAGTGCAGCTCACTCAGATTGGCAAAAGTGGACTTGATCATATCGAGGTTCTTGATGGCTTCTCCGAAGGAGGCCATGACCACCTTGCCGTGCGCCTTGACCCTGGGGTTGCCCATGATGGCGGCAGGGCTGGAGAGGTTGCCAAACTGAGCAAAGAGCCTCTGGCACCAGGGGTACACCACCAGCAAGCTGGAAAGAAGGAGAGAGAACAAGAGAGAGAGAGAGAGAGGGAGAGAGGGAGAGAGGTGGTCATCTTGGCTGAAGAACACACGCCTGCCCTGTCCCAAGTGGGAGAGTGGAGGGGAGGGGTGCAGGTTTACCTGCCAAGGGCCTCGGCCCCAATCACGGCCACGTCGCTTTTGCTCCAGATCTGGGTGATGATCTCCCTCTCTTCTGTGGTCCAATGCACCATGGTGGCTGGCTGAGGGTTGGGTACTTTGCTTGGCTGCTGGGCGAAACCTTCTGGGCGAAGCTGAAGCCTCTTCCACGGCTGGAGCCTTTTATACCCTGGGCCAAAGCTGCGGCTCCTCCTCCTTGTATGGGCGGGGCCATACTTGGCCAGAGGTTGGGTGGTCTGGCTCAGTGGGGCCGAGCCAAAGCAGGGTGGCAGCCAGCCCTGGGGTGGGGCTACATAGGCCAGGCAGGAGGCCCCAGATAGCTACCCTCTCTCCCTCTCCCTCTCCCTCTCTCTCTCTCTGCCTCTGAGAGTTGGAAGATTCAGGACAGAGGTGAAGAAAGTCCTTCTTCGCACAACACAGAGTTAAACTGCAGAACGAGAGGCAACCACCAACCTGGATTGCTTTGACAGAGGACTGGGCAAGATTCAGGCTATCAGTGGCTCCTAGCCAGGATGGCTCTGCTCTGACTGCACAATGGGCATCTTGCTGGCCCCTGTGAGAAGAGGGTCCTGGACCAGATGGATCCAGCAAGCTCTTCTTAGTTCTTACAGGAGGCCTCCCATGGTCCTCTCCGTGGGGTGAGGTTCATCCCAGCCCTTGGGAGTCTCGGAGGTCAGGGCTGAGGGCTGGCACCACTGGGAGAGGTTGCATACAACTTGACCTCTCCAGGTCGTCTAGTCCAACCCCTGTTCTGGGCAAAGCAGGGGGGTGTCAGCAGTGGAGAGATTGGGGCTACAGACCCTTCCTCCTCTTTAATCAGAGACTATCTACGTCTTATCTACCTAACACAAGGACATCAGAAGAGGTTGCTGGATCAGGCCAATGGGCCGCCTAGTCCAGCATCCTGTTCTCACAGGCAGATGCCTCTCTTGGGACCTGAGCACCAGAGCAACCCTCTCCCCTCCTGCCAGCAGCTGGTCTTCAGAAGCATTGCTACCGCATCCTGTGGAGGCAGCGCACAGCCATCCCAGATCACAGCCATGGGCAGCTCTCTCCTCCGCCATAAATTTGCCCAATCCTCTTTCAAAGCCACCCAGGTTGGGGGCCACCACTGCCTCCTGTGGGGGGGAGTTCCACAGATTAACTCTGTGTCTTGTGAAGGAGTCCTTCCTTTCGCCTGTCCGGAATCTTCCAACCCTCAGCTTCACTGGAGGCCCCTGAGTCCTGGCGTTGGGAGAGATGGACGAAGGCTTTCCTCTCTCCCCTTTCCCAAGGCCATGCAGAACTGCGCAAACTCCTTGCCCGCCTTGCCTCTGAGCTAGAAAACCCCAAACTAGAAAACTTGTTGATTAGAAGATTTGTATGAGATTGTATGGGGGAAATACGGAATAACAGATACAACTTTGCTTAAAATGTATATAGGAAGTGCAGTGTAAGCGATGGAAGTCAGTCAATGAAATTTTATTATTGAGATAAAAGGTAAAGGTACCCCTGACCATTAGGTCCAGTTGTGACCAACTCTGGGGTTGCGGCGCTCGTCTCGCTTTATTGGCTGGGTCATGTGGCCAGCAGGACTAAGCCGCTTCTGGTGAACCAGAGCAGCGCACGGAAATGCCATTTACCTTGCCACCAGAGCGGTACCTATTTATCTACTTGCACTTGACGTGTTTTCGAACTGCTAGGTGGGCAGGAGCTGGGACTGAGCAACAGAAGCTCACCCCTTCGCAGGGATTCAAACCGCCGGCCTTCTGATCGGCAAGCCCGTGTCCTGGTAATTATTACTGAAATATTTGTAGAATAAATTTGGAAGAAATTCTTCCAAATTTTCTTCTTCTTCTTTTTCTCCTTATTTTTTCTTTTCTTCTTTTTTTTCTTTTTTGTTCTTTTTTTACATTTGTGTGCTTATCTGAAATATATACAGTGGTGCCCCACAAGACGAATGCCTCGCAAGACGGAAAAACCGCTAGACGAAAGGGTTTTCCGTTTTGAAGTTGCTTCGCAGGACGAATTCCCCTATGGGCTTGCTTCGCAAGACGAAAATATCTTGCGAGTCTTGAGATTTTTTTCGCTTTTCCCCCGTTATCTAATCTGCTAAGCCTTTAATAGCCTATAATAGCCTTTTAGCAGCTATTCCCCTTTGCCATTAAGCGTTTAATAGCCGCTAAACCGCTAATAGCGCTAATAGCGCTAATCCGTCAATGGGCTTGCTTCGCAAGACGAAAAAACCTCTAGACGAAGACTCTCGTGGAACGGATTAATTTCGTCTTGCGAGGCACCACTGTATGTATGTATGTATGTATGTATTTGCAGTATTTTGCTTGTATTTTGTAATAATTATGTTAAATAGAATTTAATAAAAAAGAAAAAAAGAAAACACCAAACGTTGCAAGCTTTCCTCATAGGGGAGTTGCTTCACCCCCTTGATCCATTTTGGGGGACCCTTTTCTGAACCTTTTACAACAGCCTGGGACTCCCAGGTGAGGGGCCACATCAGGGCGGCCTGTTCGCCCCCCCCCCCTTCCAGCCTTGCTCTGGAACTTCTGCTGGAAACAGAGGGATACCATTACATTGGAAGTGTAAAGACAGTGGAGGGACATTTTTCCATATGTGGTGGAACTGTAAAATAACCAAAAGTTTTGGGGAAATGATTTATAATGAAATGAAAAAATGTTTAAGATAACGTTTGTTAAAAGACGAGAGGCTTTCTTGCTAGGCATTACAGGCCAAGACTTCCCAAAAGAGCAGAAGAAGTTATTTGTGTATGTGACAACAGTGACTAGAATATCACTAGCCCAAAGATGGAAAGACGACAAGGTACCCACGAAAGAAGAATGGCAAGAAAAACTCATGGAATGTGCTGAAATGGGAAAGTTAACTGGAAAACTTAAGAGACTTTAAAAAGGACTGGGAACCGTTTATGTCGTACTTACTGCTTGTAGAAATCACCTTGTAAAGAAGTGGACTCACTAGCAGGGTTTGAGTAAACACTTGCAATTGACAAACATAGAAATTAAGACGTAAGAACTGGAAAATAGCAAAGTGCAAGAGGTAATTTGAAAATAAGTATGGTACAAAAATGTTAAGGATATAAAAATATTTAATTTAAAGAGTGCAATATCAAGGTAGGAAAAAACAAGCGAGGGAAGTAAACACCTAAAGTACCAGAAGAGGAATTTGGGGGAAGTTGATGGAATATTTTGGGGGCTGGGAGAAGACTATCCTCTTGATAAGCCCCTCCCCAGTGCCCCCTCCCCTACCAAAACCATGATTCAGAAAAGCAGAGTGCACAGCCCACTCAGGAAGATAAGGTCCCAATGAAGTTCAAAACTGCAACAATTAAATGCACGTCTATTCAAAACCCAGCGAAAACTATCTAGTTTAATTAATGCAACAAAGTGGATGGGTTTGATCCAGTGGTGACAGCTTTTCAAAGTCGGATAGGCATGGACACCTCCCCAGCTCCCCATGGCTGCCTGCCCAGCCCATCTCCCTGGCAGCTGGCCTCTCTGGGCCTCCTTATGTGTGCGAGGAAGATAATGGCTCTGCCCTCCTGCAAGCTGAGGATGCGAGAGGGGAGATACCACCCTGCAGATTGTGGGGACTTTGGGCGTTCGGTCAACAGGGGCTCAGATAAGCAGGGAGAGCGCTCCCAGCTTGGGTCCCGTTTTCAGGCCTCACTTTGGGTTCCCCATCATGAGCACCTGGTCAGCCATGGCGAGACCAGAATGGGCTGGGTGAGCCATTGATCCAGCAATGCTTTTCCAATGCTCTTATGGAACCTTCAAGTCTAGAGGCAGTCTACCTCGATTCCTCATGAGTATTTGGTCTCTGTGAGAACAGGTGCTGGACTACATGAGCCGCCGTTGGCCTGATCTAACAGCCTCTCCTTATGATCTCATGGTAGCCCCCAGTCTCTCCAGCTAGGTATGAGCCACCAGTCTCCATCTCCTGGGGTGGGCCTGGACTGGCAGCTCACTGCTAAAAAATGTTGCTGCTTCAGCTATGGCTCTCTGAGACCCCCACCGGCACTTGGCATTTAAAGCAGTTGTTGTTGTTTAGTCATTTAGTGGTGTCCGCCTCTTCGTGACCCCATGGACCAGAGCACGCCAAGCCCTCCTGTCTTCCACTGCCTCCCGCAGTTTGGTCAAACTCATGCTGGTAGCTTCGAGAACACTGTCCAGCCATCTTGTCCTCTGTCGTCCCCTTCTCCTTGTGCCCTCCATCTTTCCCAACATCAGGGTCTTTTCCAGGGAGTCTTCTCTTCTCATGAGGTGGCCAAAGTCTTGGAGCCTCAGTTTCAGGATCTGTCCTTCCAGTGCTCACTCAGGGCTGATTTCCTTAAGAATGGAGAGGTTTGATCTTCTTGCAGTCCATGGGACTCTCAAGAGTCTCCTCCAGCACCAGAATTCAAAAGCATCCATTCTTCGGCGATCAGCCTTCTTTATGGTCCAGCTCTCACTTCCATACATCACTACTGGGAAAACCATAGCTCTTACTATACGGACCTTTGTTTTGTTTTGTTTTAATAATATTTATTACTTTTCCAAAAATTTAAACACTAAAAAGACAATACAATGCAATACATTAAACTAACAAAACAAAACAAAAACAATAAACTAAATCAAACAATTTCATTATCCCATCTTTCATTAACTTATTTCCACGACCTCCTCACACCTCCCTTTTCGTATTCCACTTCTGTTAATTATTTCAGCAATTCCTTTCCATCTTCCTCTGTTTTCTATCCTGTAATTATCTTAACTCATTCTAACCTTATTTTTTCCTTTAATACTCTATTAATCTATTTATACTTAATTCCTTATAACGTTTCTACTAAAGGCATATAACTTCATTCCAACATTTTTCTAACATTCATTAATTTTACAGTATTTCTGTAAATAGTCTTTAAATTTTTTCCAGTCTTCTTCCACCGACTCTTCTCCCTGGTCTCGGATTCTGCCAGTCATTTCCGCCAGTTCCATATAGTCCATCAACTTCATCTGCCATTCTTCCCAGGTGGGTAAATCTTGTGTCTTCCAATATTTTGCGATGAGTATCCTTGCTGCTGTTGTTGCATACATAAAAAAAGTTCTATCCTTCTTTGACATCAATTGGCCGACCATGCCCAGGAGAAAGGCCTCTGGTTTCTTCAGGAAGGTATATTTAAATACCTTTTTCATTTCATTATAAATCATTTCCCAGAATGTCTTAATCCTTGGGCATGTCCACCAAAGGTGAAAGAATGTACCTTCAGTCTCATTACATTTCCAACATTTATTGTCGGGCAAATGGTAAATTTTTGCAAGCTTGACTGGTGTCATGTACCACCTATAAATCATTTTCATTAAGTTTTCTCTTAGGGCATTACATGCCGTAAATTTCATACCTGTGGTCCATAACTGTTCCCAGTCAGCCATCATTATGTTATGTCCAACATCTTGTGCCCATTTAATCATAGCTGATTTCACCGTTTCATCCTGAGTATTCCATTTCAACAG